CTGTCTCCTCTCCACCAATAAGCTGGTGTGTGGTGGGCGTTCTGGCGCAATATGGCTGCCGTCGCATCATCCAGGTGGATGCTGCACACTGGTGGTGGTTGAGGAGATTCCCCCCTTCTATGTAAAGCGCTTTGAGTGCCCAGAAAAGCGCTATATAAATGTAAGGAATTATAATTATAATTATTATAAGTAAATATGTAGCATACTTAGTTAAATTATCAGCAAGATGGTAATGTAACTCGTACACTACCTATCAAAAGTTTAGGGTCAGTGAGATTTAGGGTCCTTTAAATAAATTAATTAATACTTATAATCAGATGCATTAAATTTATCTGTTTTTCATTATTTTAAATAAATTCTGCTTCTTCAGCACCTCTAGGGCACTATGAAATACGTTACATTTTTTTCCAAATTCCGTTTTTTTTTTTTTTTTTTTTCTGGATTCCGTTTTTTTTCAGTTTATTTTGGTTAAATTAAATTGTATTAATCAAAAAACATGTATAATTAATTTTAATTTTTAACATTTAAATTTTTCTAGAATCTGTTTTGGTTAAATTAAATTTTATTAATCAAAAAACATGTATAATTAATTGAAATCATGAAACTTACACAATTGTAACAACAATTTATTAAAAGTTTCAGAAAAATTAAAATTTTAGGGCCCTATTTTTTTCTCAAATTCCATTTGATTTTTACCAAATGTTTTGTTTTCCATTTTAATTTTCTGGATTCCATTTTAATGGTTTAATTAAATGTTAATAATCAAAAGCACCTGTAATTAACATGTTTTTATTAAAAACAAAAGCAAAACAAAAATAAGTTATTATTATTTTATTTGTTTTTATTTTATTTTTTAAAATACTGTGTTGTGTATTTACATTTTTCTGGCAAATAAATGAAGGCATAAAACATTAATTTATATTTTAATCAAAGGAAAATTAAACAAAACCTTCCTTTTTGGCAAAGAAATTGATGCACAACAGAGGTTTATGATTAAAATTAAAACATGGAGGAAAAATTGTCTGTTTGTATATGATATGACGATAGTTTTGCTCAAGTGAAACGGTAAAATGCTCATGAAGTGACTCTCAGAGCAGTTCTAGAGATTGTGTTCATGTACTCATATATTGAGGCGGCAGAGGCTGAAAACACTGCGAGCGTCACGCGTGCTTCAGTATGTGTGTAAACGAAACCGCACGTCTGCGACATTCATTTACACAGAGACATGCAGAACATGCAGGATTCATATTTAAATCGTATTTTTGTGGCTTAATATTCACAAACACTAGTCCATATCGCGTTTCGATTTAAGTGTACTGACCTACTTTTATTAATCCAAAAATTGGCAAAAATGAATGAATCCAAAAACTTCTGTGACATTCCGCGTCATACAGTAAATACATTTTTATGACTGAATGAATTTTATGACTATATACGCTTCCAGTCAAAAGTTTTTGAACAGTAAGATTTTTAATTTTTTTTATAGAATTCTCTTCTGCTCACCAAGCCTGCATTTATTTGATCCAAAATACAGCAAAAGCAGTAATATTGTGAAATAATACTATTTAAAATAACTGATTTCTGAAGGATCATGTGACACTGAAGACTGGAGTAATGATGCTAAAAAAATCAGCTTTGAAATCACAGGAATAAATTACATTTTAAAATATATTCAAATAGAAAGTAGTTATTTTAAATAGTAAATTTATTTCACAATATTACTGCTTTTGTTGTATTTTGGATCAAATAAATGCAGGTTTGGTGAGCAGAAGAAATTAATTGAGATTAACTGTGTTGACCTGTGTTAGATTGCTAATTCCATGATGAACACCTGGACTGGCCCCCAGCCATGAAGTCTCTTTTTACACGCATGTTCTGCTGCAAAAGCTGCCCGAATATTGTCAAGACCAACAACTTCATCAATTTTCAGAGCTACTTCCTGCAAAAGGTAATACCTACTTTTTTTCTTCAAAAAAAGTATCATGGACAACCGTTGGACCATAAGACAGAACCCAGTCATTCATGTCAGAAATGAAATATGTAAGACAAAGAAGCTCTTCTGCAGTAGCGATGCTAGATATCGGCCTGAATGTTAAATAATTATTATTCTTAGTAATTTGTTAGTTTCTTAGTAATTACTTAGTTTGTGCTAGAGAATTATTAGAAACTCATTCCCAGCCATATCAGACATTTACCATAAACGCTGTTTGAACAAAATCCGTATATCATTTGTTCACTCGTTTTTTGATTTAATATTGAAAGTAGAAAAATGAGAAATGGCTCCTTTTTCGTTTTTTTCATTTTTTTTCCCAAAAAAATGAAAAACAAGAATTCAACTTGATTTTTCGTTTTTCGTTCAGAGGTAGAAAAATGAATAAACGGATTGAATATTAGATTTCTACACGTGGGTGTAAATAAAACGCCCCTTTCTGCTGATTGGTCAGCCGAAGATCAAACCATGCCTCCATCAGTTCTTCCTCAGTTCCGTGCGGCAGAACAATAGTCCTCCGCTGCTGCAGTACGGATTCTTAACGTTTATTGCAACTACATTTCATCTTTTTACTTAAACTTTTTAATTACTTTTAAATTATATAGCTTAAACACTAATAAAAAAAAAGTAAAGAATAATGCATTGACTTGGATATACAATAGGCCTATAACGTTCACTCAAGAACTGTTATTCTTACAAACGGAGCACAACAGAGATATTAAAATACATACTCTTCTGAGTTTCATAATGTAGTCTTGTGTTTTATTAAAATTGATTATAATTGATATCTCATAAGGATATGCGCTTGTGCACGGCGCGAGCTGCACACTCGCACACAGGACTGCAACGCAAGATTTTCATAAATGTAATAACTTGCCATTTCGGTTTGTTTCTCACCAAACCCTACAGTATACCTTCAGAACGCTTGAAATTTACGCCACGAGATGCATATGATTATTTTACGACAGATTTGCATCCGCTTACAAAAAATAATAATTAAATAAATAAATAAAGTCAAGTCAAGTCACCTTTATTTATATAGCGCTTTTAACAATACAGATTGTGTCAAAGCAACTGAACAGCATTAATTAGGAAAATAGTGTGTCATATAATGCAAAATGACAATAGTAAACATGAATTTTTTCAGTTAAAGGCAGTTCATCATTGAATTCAGTGATGTCATCATCCAGCTCAGTTCAATTTAAATAGTATCTTTGCAATCATTTGCAATCAAGTCAACGATATCGCTGGAAATGAAGTGTCCCCAACTAAGCAAGCCAGAGGCGACAGCGGCAAG